CTGCTGAAATACTTCTCGCCCGAGGAAGACGGTGAAATGATCTTCTTAAATAGCTCTGAAAGGTTCTCCTTTTTTATGTGGTGCTTCCTGGTGGGAAGCCTACAGTCCCTGAGAAGAGAGAACGATTGGTGCCTTCACTTGTGGTGTGGATTTATTGACGATTTTCTCATTTGTCAACAACAGGCTCTACAGGACGTTCAAGGACAGCAAGTACCTATACATGCTGATGGAAGCCTGTCTAGGTGGAGAGCTCTGGACAATTCTCAGGGACAGGTGAGTTGGAAGAAACTGTTGTCCTACAAAGTGGAGTATTTTCTAATACACCTCCGGATAACCAACGGTCTTTATCTTTCCTGGGCCAAATCTAGATCTTACCGTGCTACAAGGTCCTAGAAGGGCAAAGAGCTATTTTTGTTCCTAGATCAGTTGACTAGAGGTGAAGTGAATCCAGTTAAAACTGCGAAAAAGGCCAGATTCAGGTTGTGTGGAACATGTACAAGCTTTTGTCTAAGTGGAGACTTGTCCAGAGCTACTTCATCATATATTTTAATTTGAATGAAAATAATGACTTCTTCAGTTAATTTATTTCTTAGCTACCTAGAAGCACAACCTTTTGCAACCGCAGAAATTATGACCATTTCCTTGATGCCTTTCCCATTTGGGGGCCTGGCTGGAGGCCCAGGCAAGGGATAGGGGAACGTGGGACAGTTCTAAGGGTAACAAAGACTTTGTGACCATGTCTAATGGCAGAGAATGGCTCCGTGGGAGGTGCAATGTGTAGGTCAGTCTCACTGCATTCCTCCAGAGACACGCTCTGGAGATGGGCTCCTTCCAGTTTGGCACCTTTAGGCATTGCTGCCATGGCCAGTTTAGCCTCTGGACTTAGAAACCAAGGATGCAGTAAGAGTTCCCCATTGTGAACGAAATCCGTGTGCATTTTCAATGTAAAAAATCCAGGTTTCGTCAAAGTCACTTGGAAAAGTCACAGTTTCCCATCCCAGAGAAAGGCCTGCTGTTTTCATCTCAGGGTTTGCACTGCTGCCCACCCTCTGGATAGCAACATCCACGGAGGAACTGTGATAAAGAATATCCGTTAATAGTTCTTCATATTTTATGACACGGTCAGGTATGATAGCAATGAGCAGGAAGAAATCAATAGTTCTGCCTGGGCTTTTAGACTAGATATGTCACACAAGGGCCGCTCCTCATTAAAACAAGAGCTGTAGCAGGTGCCGAGTGATATTTTTCTCATCATCTTCGTCAGAACCTGATAATTTCATCTTGAGTTCTCTGTGGTTCTGCTGCCACCTAGCTTAGATGCGCTTCAGGGCTCAGCCAGCTTCCACCGCCCACTCCCTCCCAGTGGGCAGCGGGCTATGGTTTGCTTCAGGAAACTGGTGGCAAACGGGTGCTGGAATGAGAATCCAAAAGTGCAGTTTATGCAGAATTTGCAGTTAATACTTAGAGTCCCACCAACTGCCTTTTATCTTGGTTATGAATGTTAGTGTGGGAGTTCTTGGTTTGCTACGGTTCAAAATGGCTTTAGCAGCCAAAAGTCAAAGACTATAGTAAAAAAAAAATCACCTTAGAAAGTATTTGTGAATTTTACCTCTGTGGGGTGTTATTGCAAAGCAAAGCTCAATATTTAATACTAATTATTTTAGATGTGAATGTTTTATATAAAGGTGGATCGAAGGCAAAGGTGCTAACTAACTTCAGAAATGGAAATGCGATTAAATTTATGTGTAAGGGTGAGTTAAGCAACAGACACTTTCCAGGTATTAGAGTGATAGATATGTATATCCATAGATATTTAAACAGTAGGTGAAGTCCAGTAAGGGAAGAGATTGAATAACTTTATCCCCTTTCCCTCTCTTGTTTTATGCAGAGGTTCGTTTGAGGATTCGACAACCAGGTTTTACACGGCATGCGTGGTCGAAGCTTTTGCCTATTTGCATTCCAAAGGGATCATTTATAGGGACCTCAAGCCAGAAAACCTCATTCTGGATCATCGAGGTTATGCCAAACTGGTGAGTGTCTGCAACATCTGGGTTGACCAAAGGAAGTCACAGCTATCTCCATGAAACTGTGTTAGGAGTAGAGGAGAGCAAAGGATTAGCCATAGAGGGTCAGAAGCAAAGTCCGCCCAGCCCAAGGTCCTGCTGGCCATCAGTAGATGGTGACATGAGAAGAGATCAGGGTCACCCACCACCAGGGTGTTTTCCCAACCTCCAGCAGCTCAGGAAAAAAAAATGGTCTTAATGGATATATTAATCCTGACCTCATCATAGCAAGAAATAATTATTATTAGGCACTTTGGACTGTGTTGCTGAGCTGTGGCCAGAACATCTTCTTGCTTTAGGAGGGCTACCGGTGTTCCAGCACTGATAACACACTTGACTGAACTGTGCAAACTCCACTGCGTAAGGTTCTACCTGATACCGCGCTTCTCAGAAGGTCATGGTCATTCTCAGTGCTGTCCCCTGGCAAGATCCACTCCTCAAACCAGGATGACAGCATGGACAAGACCCCCCCACTCCCCAAATTAGGGAGTTTCTGATGGGTTTCACTGTATTGCTTTGATCAGTCCTATTACTTTCTTGCCTCAGAAATCACTGTAGAGGTGATTGAGGTATACCTCAAATGCCAGGTGAGACCCCAGAGAGCAGGAGAAGAAAAGAAAGACTTCCCTTAGAGGGACATGCTGGGGGATGGAGGCAGTTGGGAAGCCGTCAGTGGAGGCCGATGCTTCAACAGAGCTGAGTCCAAGAGGGGCGGATGCGCTCCCTGAGAATCACAGGAGGCCAAGGTCTCTGCCTCTTGGCTCGGAAACTCTTCCGTGCATTAGGGAAGGAAGCTCAGCATCAGCAGGTGGGAGCAGTAAGTTAGACCATCACCATCATGGACCTTCACTGCCTGGTGGCAGCCACCAGGTCTCACCATGACCCTAAGCCAAATGAATGACGTGAGAGTTTATCCTCTACAGCATTTTGCAAAGGCTGGGGAGTCCCAACAAGGCTTTGCATGATTGAGGAGGATTAGGGGCAGGAGTTAGGATTAGGACCCCAGGAGGATCTGGACTGGGGTTTGTGCTAGGTCTGTCACCAACCCCCAGCTCCTTAGGCAGTCCGATCTTTGTGACTGCGTCCATGATAGCACATGTCCCAGAGGACTGAATGGATAAAAGTGTCACGTTCAAGTATCAGTTCATCCATGGTAGAAGTGTCCCAGATTCCTCGTGGGACTTGGCACATTTTGCTTCTGACCAGCTCGAGGTGTAGGAGCATCTCACGGACATCAAGGGACAGCAGAGTGTGCTACAGACCACAGCTCGGGGCCAGCACAGCATCAAGACAGGGGAGGGGATGGGGGGTAGAGCTAAAGATACAATGAGCCTATTAACCTGAGCTCTGCTTCCCGGTGTAATGTGATTTTCTGTGCTTTCTAGTGCCACAGGGGCACACTGCTGAGGTTTGTGAGTGTATCATAGCAGCCTCAAGTACATGTGAGAAGATACTTGTAGTACTGCAGTGCTCTCTGTACTGGGACAGAAATCTGAACTTTTCCGTAGATGCTAAAACGGTCAGTATTTAGCCTGAATAGTTCCCTGCTCAGGTAAAGTCTAGGATACAAAAAAAAAAAAGTGAACTTGAGCTGTGAATGATATGAGGTTGTATCTCCCAGGAAACCCTTGATGTTGGCATTTGTTCTTCTTCCCTCACACGGATCTTCTATTGTGTTACGAAGGATAAATTGACAAGAAGGTCACCTGTGTGTGCCTGGCCCTGGAGTGACCCACGACACTTTAGTTAGGAGAATATTCATAGGCTGGGCTTGATGATCTGAGAGGTCTTTTCCAGCCTCAATAATTCTGTGATTCTGTAATATTCCCATGAGGAAACCTCCTTTCTGCTTTGCTTCACTTCAAGAGGAGCAGAGCACATGGCTGACATTCCCTCTCACCCTCTGCCCTGATGGCTCCTCTTGCTCCTTTCCGCAGGTCGATTTTGGCTTTGCAAAGAAAATAGGATTTGGAAAGAAAACATGGACTTTTTGTGGAACCCCAGAGTACGTAGCCCCCGAGATCATCCTGAACAAAGGTCATGACATTTCGGCAGACTACTGGTCCCTGGGAATCTTGATGTATGAGCTCCTGACTGGCAGGTATGGGCATCGGGGACGGCGCCGCCGCTGAAAAGAGCTCCCAGTATTTCTGCTGTTGTCACCCTGATTAGGCAAGGGGAAGGTTCAGAGCCGGTGCGGGCTGCAGAGGCACAGCACGGCGCTGCTGAAACTCTGAATTCGGCTTTTCCACTTGCAATCGCAGCTTCTGTGCAAACCTCTCCAAGGGCAAGGCATGAGCAGGGTCTTTTAAAGAACCATTGTGAAATGACACCCCAAAAACCCCGTCATTTTTGGCCTGGACTGAGCTGAACGTGATGGGCATGGGGTTTGGAATTCAGCTGGGGGAGGTGCAGTGATGGGCTACCGCGGGGCTGAAAAGAAGGAGGTGGACCTGGCACCGTGGGGACTTGACTCCCTATATCCCCCCCTTCCTTTATTTAGGTTTGGATGTCTGTGTTGCTGCTGATGTTGGCAGTAGCAGCTTCCTTGAACTTTCTCACCACATCCAGCATCTCTCACTCCTAGAACACAGGAGCTGGGAGAGGATCTATCACCTCAACCGACTTATCCTTTGGGGCTCAACCCAGGCCCCTATTCTTTTAAACTTAATTAAACCCCACTGAAAACGTGTCAACGACATCAAACTCAAAATGAGCCGGAGGATTGCTCAGACCCTTGTTCCCTGGGCAGTCAGAACATGGGCTGTCGTGGAAGTGAGAGGTTTGGCACACGCTGCTGCAGAGAATGTGATTTTACTCTTTGGTACTTCCCTAGAGCCTGGGAAGCATCTTCAGTGCTATTTTAAAGACGGGCTCCTAATCCTTTTCTTTTTCCTTCCCTTTCTGAAGTCCCCCTTTCTCAGGCCCAGACCCCATGAAGACCTATAACATCATATTAAGAGGAATAGACATGATTGAATTTCCAAAGAAGATTGCCAAAAATGCTGCTAATTTAATTAAAAAACTATGCAGGTAAGCACATGAAATGTAATCCCCCTGGTCTTACTTGCAAAGAAAATTAAGCATTCCGAACTCTGAAAGTAACCCATTTGTTACTCGTTTTATAGGGACAATCCGTCAGAAAGATTAGGCAACTTGAAAAACGGAGTGAAAGATATCCAAAAGCACAAGTAAGTGTCTTCTCCACCATCCGTCAGATCCAACCCCCAGAGACATGCTTTTCAAACACTTCAAGTTTCAGTTAAAAATACTCTTCTTACACTCCGTTGGCCTTTCCCTTCTAGTTTGCTTTAGACTTGCCATGTCCATGCTGGTCCTTCTCTTTTCCCATCCCCCAGGCAACAGAAATGGGCTAGGTGGTCGGTTTGGGTGGACAGGTCGAAGACCCAGCTCAGGATTCATCCTCCCACTGTAGCCCGAGCAAAACCCAAGGTGCCCAAAGCAGGAGGAGGACATTCCTGTGCATGCCCCTAGCTCCCCATCTCATGCAAAGAAAGGGCATTAGGGTTCTCTTATGGGAGGGATTGACCCTGTGGAAAGGAAAGAGCAGCTGCCAGGCCACCTGTGGTGAGGAATGGTTTTCTTCCGAGCGTCGGTAATTTGTACTTGCCAGGCTATCACCACCGGCTTGCTGCACACTCTCCATCTTCAGTCCCAAAACACACAGATAACGACGACAGGAAAAAATTATTCAGGCTTACTGGGGAATTTGAAGATGATTGCAGGAGTTGAAACCCACTGTTTAAGCAATTTAAATTTCATTTTGTGCTACGGAGGGGGTTTTCACTCTATGTCTAACGTTTTTCGTTATTCCCTCCCTTCTAGATGGTTTGAAGGCTTTAACTGGGAAGGGTTACGAAAAGGGACACTGACACCTCCCATAATACCAAGTGTAAGTTTTCCTACTTATTTTCTGCTTCATGGCCAGTAGCTTTCTTCTGCGTGAATGTCGTGAGCTTTGAGCACTGGCACACTGTAGTCAAGTGGCGACCGCATGGGCTTTATTTCTTCCTAAGGTGCTTGAAGAAGTCACAGGAGAGACATTTCCATCTGTACTTCGTCTCTGGGCAGTCTCTTCCAGGATGAGGCAGTTTGGGGAGGGCATGGCTGCCGTGAAATGCCCTTTGGAGCAGGAGATTGGGGCTGGATCACTCACTATTACCCTTTTTTTTCCTCACCTGCTCCTCTCATTCCTTGATCTGCTTTCCACGTTTCAGTGGAGAGCTGCTACTTTCACCCCTTCTCTCAGATGCATCCTCTTTCTTTCTCCTTCATGCCTGTTTCTTTTGACGAGGCGAGTGGGATTTGTATGCCACCTCCCTTTTCTTTTGCGTTAACCTTTCCCTCTGTCTTTTGTGCTTTTCGCCCTTTTTCTTTTTCCCTTGTGTCCGTGTCGGACATGAAAAGCCCCTGTTGCCGCCTAGTTTATGTTTAACAGGGAGCAGACGTGGAGGGACAGCTCGACTCATTTTCCTTTGGAGCAAAGCTCTTCCTTTGATGTCTTTGTGAGCTCTTTCGCCCACAAAGCCCGCCGCAAAGGGGAAACCAAACAGGATTAAGCTGATAGAAATTACCTTGGCCCCTTCTGTTCTGCAGCCTCCCCTCCTTGTTCCGACTTAATCCCTTTTCTCTCCGCGCCTCTCCCGCAGGATCACCACTAGAATGACATTAGCGCTGGTGTTTAATTGCACCCCGTCGCCTCGTGGTCCTGCACCTCCTGCAGCAGCAGCAGCAGCAGGCAGGGCTCTGGGGCTAGATCCACCAGCTCAAAGTTTTCTTGGCAGCTCTGAAAGAGTGAGAGGGTTTTGCATCCCCCCCACCACCCATGTTTTTCCTGATGGGCTGCAGTTACTCGGTGGCAGAAAGCAGGACTCTACAAATAGCTGCCTAAAGCAATGATGCCCTGAGAATGTGTAAATGTTTTACAAATTGAGGTGATTTTTTTCTGTTAAACTTCTTTGTAGTGACTTAATTTGCCAGCAGTACTGCTCACCATATTTCACGGCAGATAGTAAGGTCAAGTTTGCTCATCCAGATTCAATTCCTGGTTTACCTGTGCAGGATGTCAGTGTGGTCTGAAAATGCCCCAGTATGTTTTTCTAATTGTTTTTAGTGGATTTTGAGCTTAGTAAAGAACAATGCCAATGCTGCTTTTACCTGATATACATATGGACCCTACGTGTCCGTAGATATTAGGAAGAAATTCTTTACCATGAGAGTCTGAGACACTGGCACAGGTTGCCTAGGGGAGCTGTGGATGTCTCATCCTTGGAAGGGTTCAAGGCCAGGTTGGACGAGGCCTGGAGCAACCTGGGCTAGTGAGAGGGGTCTCTGCCCATGGCCATGGATCTGGTGATGTCCTACGAGGGAACATGTCTGAGATTGCTCCCAAGGAAGTGATCTGCTGTCACCCTTTTGGCCAGCGCACTGCCGTCAAGGCTATCCGAAGCAGGTGGGAGCATCCTTCTCTCTTCAGAGGAATCCCTCCAGGAAAGCTCAATGCTGCCTGCCCTAAATTGGCCTGATCCCAGTTCCACACAGCTCAC